TATAACATGTATATAACATGTATATAACATGTATATAACATGTATATAATATGTATATAACATGTATATAACATGTATATAATATGTATATAACATGTATATAACATGTATATAACATGTATATAGGATGTGTATAATATGTAGTATATAATATGTATATAATATGTATATAATATGTATATAACATGTATATAATATGTATATAACATGTGTATAATATGTATATAATATGTGTATAACATGTATATAACATGTATATAACATGTATATAATATGTGTATAACATGTATATAATATGTGTATAATATGTATATAATATGTGTATAATATGTATATAATATGTGTATAATATGTATATAATATGTGTATAATATGTATATAGTATGTGTATAATATGTATATAACATGTATATAATATGTATATATCATGTATATAACATGTATATAACATGTATATAACATGTATATAATATGTATATAGGATGTGTATAACATGTATATAATATGTATATAATATGTATATAACATGTATATAACATGTATATAATATGTATATAATATGTATATAATATGTATATAACATGTATATAATATGTATATAACATGTATATAATATGTATATAATATGTGTATAATATGTATATAACATGTGTATAATATGTATATAACATGTGTATAATATGTATATAACATGTGTATAAGATGTATATAATATGTATATAACATGTATATAAGATGTATATAACATGTATATAAGATGTATATAATATGTGTATAATATGTATATAACATGTGTTGTATAAGATGTATATAACATGTATATAAGATGTATATAACATGTGTATAACATGTATATAACATGTATATAATATGTATATAACATGTATATAAGATGTATATAACATGTATATAAGATGTATATAACATGTGTATAACATGTATATAACATGTATATAATATGTATATACCATGTATATAATATGTATATAACATGTATATAAGATGTATAATGTATATAATATGTATATAACATGTATATAATATGTATATAACATGTATATAATATGTATATAATATGTTTATAATATGTATATAATATGTATATAATATGTATATAATATGTATATACCATGTATATAATATGTATATAACATGTATATAATATGTTTATAATATGTATATAACATGTATATAACATGTATATAATATGTATATAACATGTATATAATATGTATATAACATGTGTATAACATGTATATAATATGTATATAACATGTATATAACATGTATACAATATGTATGTAACATGTATATAACATGTATATAACATGTATATAATATGTATATAACATGTATATAACATGTATATAATATGTATATAACATGTATATAATATGTATATAATATGTATATAATATGTATATAACATGTATATAATATGTATATAATATGTATAGAACATGTATATAATATGTATATAACATGTATATAATATGTATATAACATGTATATAACATGTATATAACATGTATATAACATGTATATAACATGTATATAACATGTATATAACATGTATATAACATGTATATAATATGTATATAACATGTATATAATATGTATATAACATGTATATAACATGTATATAACATGTATATAATATGTATATAACATGTATATAATATGTATATAACATGTATATAATATGTATATAACATGTATATAATATGTATATAACATGTATATAATATGTATATAACATGTATAATATGTATATAACATGTATATAATATGTATATAATATGTATATAGGATGTGTATAATATGTAGTATATAATATGTATATAATATGTATATAATATGTATATAACATGTATATAACATGTATATAACATGTGTATAATATGTATATAACATGTATATAACATGTATATAACATGTATATAACATGTATATAATATGTGTATAACATGTATATAATATGTGTATAATATGTATATAATATGTGTATAATATGTATATAATATGTGTATAATATGTATATAATATGTGTATAATATGTATATAATATGTGTATAATATGTATATAGTATGTGTATAACATGTATATAACATGTATATAACATGTATATAGTATGTATATAACATGTATATAATATGTATATAATATGTATATAATATGTATATAACATGTATATAACATGTATATAATATGTATATATCATGTATATAATATGTATATAACATGTATATAATATGTATATATCATGTATATAATATGTATATAACATGTATATAATATGTATATATCATGTATATAATATGTATATAACATGTATATAATATGTATATATCATGTATATAATATGTATATAACATGTATATAACATGTGTATAACATGTATATATTATGTATATAACATGTATATAACATGTATATAGTATGTATATAACATGTATATAGCATGTATATAATATGTATATAATATGTATATAATATGTATATAATATGTATATAGTATGTATATAACATGTATATATCATGTATATAATATGTATATATCATGTATATAATATGTATATATCATGTATATAATATGTATATAATATGTATATAATATGTATATAATATGTATATAATGTATATAATATGTATATAACATGTATATAATATGTATATAACATGTATATAATATGTATATAACATGTATATAGGATGTATATAACATGTATATAGGATGTATATAATATGTATATAATATGTATATAATATGTATATAATATGTATATAACATGTATATAACTATTAGGATCATTATTACTATTAGTATTATTATTATTATTAGTAGTATTATTACTATTAGTATCATTATTATTAGTATTATTACTATTATTATTAGTATTATTACTATTAGTATTATTACTATTAGTATTATTACTATTAGTATTATTACTATTAGTATTCTTACTATTAGTATTATTACTATTAGTATTCTTACTTTTAGTATTCTTACTATTAGTATTTTTACTATTAGTATTATTATTATTAGTATTATTAATATTAGTATTATTACTATTAGTATTATTACTATTAGTATTATTAATATTAGTATTATTACTATTAGTATTATTACTATTAGTATCATTATTATTAGTATTATTACTATTAGTATTATTACTATTAGTATTATTACTATTAGTATTATTACTATTAGGATCATTATTATTAGGATCATTACTATTAGTATTATTACTATTAGGATCATTATTATTAGGATCATTACTATTAGTATTATTACTATTAGTATTATTACTATTAGTATTATTACTATTAGTATTATTACTATTAGTATTATTACTATTAGTATTATTACTATTAGTATTATTACTATTAGTATTATTATTATTAGTATTATTACTATTAGTATTATTATTATTAGTATTATTACTATTAGTATTATTACTATTAGTATTATTACTATTAGTATTATTACTATCAGTATTAGTACTATTAGTATTATTACTATTAGTATTATTACTATTAGTATTATTACTATTAGTATTATTACTATTACTATTATTACTATTAGTATTATTACTATTAGTATTATTACTTTTAGTATTCTTACTATTAGTATTATTACTATTAGTATTTTTACTATTAGTATTATTACTATCAGTATTATTACTATTAGTATTATTATTATTAGTATTATTATTATTAGTATTATTACTATTAGTATTATTACTATTAGTATTATTACTATTAGTATTATTACTATTAGTATTATTACTATTAGTATTATTACTATTAGTATTATTACTATTAGTATTATTACTATTAGTATTATTATTATTAGTATCATTATTATTAGTATTATTACTATTATTTTTATTAGTATTATTACTATTAGTATTATTACTATTAGTTTCATTATTATTAGTATTATTACTATTAGTATTATTACTATTAGTATTATAAATATTAGTATCATTACTATTAGTATTTTTACTATTAGTATTATTACTATTAGTATCATTATTATTAGTATTATTACTATTAGTATCATTATTATTAGGATCATTATTATTATTAGTATCATTATTATTAGTATTATTACTATTATTATTAGTATTATTACTATTAATATTATTACTATTAGTATTATTACTATTAGTATCATTACTATTAGTATTATTACTATTAGTATTATTACTATTAGTATCATTATTATTAGTATCATTATTATTAGTATTATTACTATTAGTATTATTACTATTAGTATTTTTACTATTAGTATTATTACTATTAGTATCATTATTATTAGTATTATTACTATTAGTATCATTATTATTAGGATCATTATTATTATTAGTATTATTATTATTAGTATTATTACTATTAGTATTATTACTATTAGTATTATTATTATTAGTATTATTACTATTAGTATTATTACTATTAGTATTATTTACTATTAGTATTATTATTATTATTAGTAGTATTATTACTATTAGTATCATTATTATTAGTATTATTACTATTATTATTAGTATTATTACTATTAGTATTATTACTATTAGTATTATTACTATTAGTATTATTACTATTAGTATTATTACTATTAGTATTATTACTATTAGTATTATTACTATTAGTATTATTATTATTACTATTATTACTATTAGTATTATTACTATTAATATTATTACTATTAGTATTATTACTATTAGTATTATTATTATTACTATTATTACTATTAGTATTATTACTATCAGTATTATTACTATTAGTATTATTACTATTAGTATTATTACTATTAGTATCATTATTATTAGTATTATTACTATTATTATTAGTATTATTACTATTAGTATTATTATTAGTATTATTACTATTAGTATTATTACTATTAGGATCATTATTATTAGGATCATTACTATTAGTATTATTACTATTAGGATATTACTATTAGTATTATTACTATTAGTATTATTACTATTAGTATTATTACTATTAGTATTATTACTATTAGTATTATTATTATTAGTATCATTATTATTAGTATTATTACTATTAGTATTAGTATTATTACTATTAGTATTATTACTATTAGGATCATTATTATTAGGATCATTACTATTAGTATTATTACTATTAGTATTATTACTATTAGTATTATTACTATTAGTATTATTACTATTAGTATTATTACTATTAGTTGTTACTATGGTTTTTGTTACCGTTATCAGCAGCAGACACGGCGCAGGTGTTTGGATCAGTCGCTGCCCCTGGAAAAGGCCGTGGAGCTCCGGCGGCAGCGTGCCCTACTGCGCTCCAACTCGGCGCAGGCGAGGCAGACGAGTCGAGAAAATGGGAAGAAAATGGGAAGATTAGGGCATTTTTTATGGAACAACATATTGAATGATGCGTTTTTGCCACTTTGGTGTGGAACAAGTATTTCTTTGGGGTTGGTTTAGGGAGATTGCATGATGCTCGACGATGTTGCGGGAACCTTTTGAGGATACTTTGGAGACCAACATCCCAGAAAAAGAGAGCAAGTCATAGGTTCGCCCCCAAAACCGTCGACATATTCCCCAAAACATCCCCAAAACAACCCCAAAAACATCCCCAAAATTGACCAACAAAAACTCCCAACATTGCTTTGAACATCGTTCAACTCTTGAAGAAAACATTGGGTGAGCCATTGGCAGCTGCAAGGTGGAGTTGTCAACTCAGCGCTGGGCGCAAGCAGCAGAGCTCGCTGAGAAGTCATTGGAGGCACTGGAAACCTGATGGTTCATGGTGGTTTACTGGAGGTCTCAACCATGCAATAAGGGATAATTTTGGGGACACACCATTTTCAACCAATATTACATATATTATGTACGTATGCTGTGTATATAATATATGTATAATATGTGTGTATGTATATGTATATATATATATGTGACATGTGTGTAGTATAAATATAGTGTATTGGGGATGTGTCATCCGACAGATTGTGGGAATGCGGAAGTGAGCAACAACATATTGGGAATGGTATGAGCAAAACAGATAGATTAGATAAGGATATTTACTTCTTCATGGCCAATCACACAGTTCTTTCGATCTAATTCTCACAGGCTGGATGATTACTGCAAATGCGGCCAACCAGTTAGATTCTAGGTGCACTGAGAGTGGGAGATGCCAAGTAATAGCCGATTTGCTTCGCATGTGAACGTGCAGAGGACGAGCCGAGCTCCGTAAAGACCCGCTATCGCCTGGCGAAAGCACAGATGGGCCAAAGCAACTGGGAAGCGGCTGCCAAGACAGTTGACCAAGCTCTGCTTTCCTTGAAAGGCTGGGTTTGATGGGTTTGGAAGATGATGATCCTGGCTGAACAGAGGAGCTTTCGGAAAGGCTGGATGATATTGATCTGAAGGTTCATCATTTAATCAGACAAGTGGGCCTGCTTTCTACTGGTGTTTATCGCCATTCTAATGGCCATATCTCCATGTTTTGCTGGCTGCTGCACGGGTAGCATTCTTCCTGCATTTTCCTTCTATCCTCATGATTTTTCTCATTCCTTGAAACAAAAGTCAGTACCTGATTTGCTTCATCAACCAACTCACAACAATGACATACAATGACTGCAACTAGTATGATATGCCCAGCCAGACAGCTGGCTGGTACAGGAATAGTGATTTCCGAAAATTCCCATTGGAAATTCCCCATATTCCTGGTACCCAGAAAATTTGGAGGAGGCTTTCCCCCAAAAAACAACCGCCACCAGGTCAACCCGGCGACCGTGAAACTTTCACGGTGGAGCTCTGGAAGTTGGCCGAGGACATCGCGCAGAAACTGCCGCAGTGGCGTTGGTCAGCCTCCAAACCGGAGCTCCGAAAAGCGGCGCCGGACCGGGAGAATTGGGAGGAAACTCATGGAAATGAATGGAAGATGATGTGGGATGATGTGGGATGATGTGGGATGAAATTTGGTGTCAAAAATGATGCCAGAGTTGTTGCACTGGTTGCAGGATGACTTTGAGAAGCGGATCGTTGGATGGTGGGAATATCCTGGCAGCACCTTTGAAATCCGCCTGGAGCCATGGGGTGCTTTGGTCTTCCAGGAAGACACCGTGAAAATCGAGCTGATGAAGAAGGGCAAGCTCCGCTGGAGGGGTGAAGTGGAACTCATCTCTGGAATGGTCCTGAATTTATCCTTCGAACCTGGCAGTGATGTCTTGGTTTTAGAATTCATCCCACCATCAGATGCCCAGTTGAAGCTAGAGGTTTTTGTCGAGGTTTTGCTGCTTCTATTTTGACCCACATTGACCCGTCACAGGCATGACCGGCATCACATCACTGAGGAGCTTCCTGCGGAGGATCAATGGAGCGGTCCCAAACGATTCACGGCCAAGCGAAGAGAAGGCATGAAGCAAGAAGCGATTCCGGCGGAAGTGCAGGACAGCTGTCCCTGCAGTGGTCATGATATGCCAGTGAAGAATCAACAAGATGTAGGTAACAGGATCAATTTCCCAGCAACGAAATGTTGTGAAACGGCACCCATCCATGTTTCTTCCAAAACTTTGAGGGGCCCCAACTTCCAGCATGGGATCCAACATGTTTTGTTTGAAACACAAGGGCGACCCATGGGAACCTTTAAGGGTTCACCCTAGAGTGGCAGGAGGTTCCCGAGCCCATCGCTCAGCCCATCACTGAACCTGCACCGGAACCTGCACCTACAGCTGAGGTGGGGTCGAAGTGCAGAAGGGCATCACGTCGCTCAAACTTGGAAGCTAACATTGCTGAAATAACCATTAACAACAATGATTTTTAACTAATTTAACCATTGATCTGTTGTCAATTCAACCAGCTTAAAACATCAAAAACTGCATTTACTGCCTGAAAAATAATCTTTGCTGCAGTGCCAACTCTGGCTTTCAAGCCCATCAAGGTAAGTTGTAGTGGACTCCAAAGATCGATGCAGTGAAGAGTGCTCAAACACAGACACAGAATGACACAGACACTGACATATACGGATACGTCTAGATTCAGATATATCATGATATATCTATATTATTCTATATTCATATCTGAAACGTGGTTTCCCATCAACATTTCCATTTGAGGATCCCTGATTTTTAGCCTGAGCAAAGCACGATTGGATGAATGCAACATTGGAATTTAATAGGTGACAGAATTTGGAGATATCTTTCCAACATATATTCCAAGATATTCCAAGCATCACATTTATCATCATTTATCCAAGAAGGTATCCCAATCATCACTAACTAATATGACATCTAATGACTAATTCCAAGATATTCCAAGTAGGCAAAAGATGGCAAAAGGTTTCTAACTGTTGAACTGGACAGGTTTATGGCCCCCTGGTATCTTCTATTTCCCAGCCACACCTCAACGCGCCTCGTCTTTTCGCGGACAAATCAGCGATGCTTGAGGTTGAAAAAGGGCAGCTGAATTGGAACAGCTGACAGTTCAGTTGAATTGAAATGTTATGTATGCCACATGTCTATGTGAGGGTTTGGCACATCTGCACTCCCCCTTTGCGGGCCCGTTAGGCTTCCGCAAACAGGAAAATTTTAAATTGGCCTCTCTCACTCAAGCTACCCCTTCAGCTTCACAGCAGTTCAAACAAGATCGCACAAGTCGTGATGCAGCAAATCTCGGACATCTTTGATCTGTGTGAAGCTGGTTTCCATGGTCTGGGAGATACAGTGAGCATCCAGGGGGCGGTCTGCCCCGTGTTCTTCTCAAGACACCTTTGCAGATGTCACACCATTCATATTCGGTCAAACGGCCAACCTGTGGTCCTCGCAGATGGCGACAATGCCTTCTCAAGTGATAGACAGTTCCACATGGTGACTTCAGGACTTGAAATCCCAACTGAAAATCACGTCCTTCTTGTGTTTCATTTTCTGTTGGCAGCATCACTCCTCTTTGGATTTGTGACCACAACTGGTCTTCATCTCTTTTGATACTTTCTAGGGCAGAAAGAATCTGCTCTGTTGTTGGTCCTTGTCTTAGTGGCTCAGTGGGTTGGGCGCCTGAAGATGAAGAATGCTGCCCCCTTTGGTCCAAACCTCGTCCTTGTTCGGACGGGCTCTCTCCCTCACGAGGGTTGGGTGCACGGTCTCCTCCACCAGTGCCCCTAGCTCCTCGGATGCCGCCTTCACGAGGGTTTACTTCACGTTCTTCCCCTCGGAGGCTGGCTTCACGAGGGAGCTCAGTCCGGTCTCCTCCACCAGAACTGGCTTCACCTCGGAGGGTGCTAGGGAGCCGGACTGGGTCTGTACGTTGACCCAACCCCTCCTCACCTAGCCTTCCAGGGAGGCGGACTGGAACACCACGGTGTTCCAACCCCTTCTCACCCGGGTTTTCGGACCGACTTCCACTGGCCTTTTCTTCCTTTTGTTTATGAACTTCACTCTTCACTCTTTGTTGCAAGCTCCTGATCTCTTCCTCCTCATCTTGGCTTTCCTCTTGATCTGATGCAGTCGATGCAGGGAGACTTCGGGACTGTTCTTGGCTTAACCCTTGAGGTTGAGCCTCTATCTGCCTTACTCCTACCTTCCACATCCACTGCGCCAAGATCGTGAGCACAACCACGATCAGAGTGTAGATCCACATCATCATGTAGAGTTCTCCTGCGCTTTCTTCTTCTTCTTCTTGGCCCCGTGCTGCTTGCAGACTTGCAGCCAGGGTAATGAGTCTCATCGCCAATGCAGTTTGCGCGACCTGCATTGACGCATTCTTTTCTTTCCTCTCTTCGCTTTGTTTCATATCCTCCTGTGAGTCCGCCTCTTTGTTCTCTGGTCTCGTTCTCATCCGCATCAGATCTTTCAGATGCTCCAGTCTGGTGGACGGCAATGGCTTCGTGCCAACGTCCGCTGTCATGTCTTGGCCTGCTATGTGGCCAATCATCCACTCGCCTTGCATCACTTGTTGGCGGGCATATCCGGCGCGCATCTTCAAGTGCCGGGTGCGCCAGCTCCCACCTTCGTTCACCATGATTGAAGCTGCAGACTGACTGTCTGTCCACGCCTGGCGTTTGACGCCCTCGCAGAGCTCATACAAGATAACTGCCACTGCCTCTCCACCTGTCATTCCTTCTATCAATTCGTTCAACTCTGATTCTGCAGTTGAGAGGGTGATTGTTGGCTGCCTCCCTGATCGCCAGAAAATCAGGCATCGGTTTATGAAAACCAAGAAGCATCCATGGCTTTCCTCACCCTCTGGTGAGAATGACGCATCTGTGAAAACTTTAACGCATACATCTTCCTCAGGATCTTCTTGATACATCAGCCCCTGGGCTGCTGTTTTCCTGAGATATCCTCTGATCTGCGCTGCGGTTTCCAAAACACTGGCAGTCCCCCTCGTGACATGTGAGCCCATGCGACTCGTGGAAAACATCAAGTCTGGTCGAGATCTGGTGACCAGCCATAAAATCTCACCTACTTCTTTCTGACACTGGCGGATCTTTTCCAAAGATGGGGTCTCCTTGTCTGGCTCCATCAAAGCTTGATCCTTTGTGATTGGGATTTTCTTTTCTTTTTCTTCAGTGTCTTGCTTCCCAATCAGATCTTTCACGTATGATTCTTGCGTGATCATCCATGCTTCCTTTCCCTCATCCAGAACTTTCAAGATGTCCATGCCTAAGAATCTCACTGGCTCCTCTGTGACCTCCTCTGGGACGGAAGTCGCCCATGTTTCTTGTATCTTTTCTTTCACTGCCGTCACGACTGGTTCTTTTGCGGCAATGAATATATCATCGACATAGGTCATCACCAGTCCCAACACTGTGCCATTGGTGAGCCAGTGTTCTTCTTCCTCATCTTCTTTTCCTCTATCTTCTACTATCTTCCACAAATTCGGTTCTGAGCCAAGTTGAAGCAGCTTCAACATTTTGGCCTTTTCTCCCTTGACTTTGATTCTGAATCCTCGCATCTTCTCATCTCGGTGGTTACCCCAAAGACGGGGTGATCTTCTGAAGCCATAAACTGCCTTCAGTGGTTGGTACACTTGGCCTCGATCTAGATAACCTTTTTCGATGAAGATGGAGGGTGGACGAAGAAGCAAAACGTCTTCTTCTGGATCTTGTTCCATACAGGCGTTCAAAAACGCTGTTTTGATGTCCAAGACGCATCCCTTCCATCCGTATTTCGCAGATGCCCAAATGAGCACTCTGAGTGCTGTGGCGTCTGCTCCTCCACTGTATGTCTGTTCACCTTCCTTCTTTGGTTCCAGGTTTCCACACACGACCCACCTCACTTTGCGTTTGAATGCTCCAGGGATGGGCTTCACGGTGAAGACAACCTTGGTGGGAAGGTATTCTATTTTTCGACCTTCCTCTTCTGCCTTTCTTTTGATCTCTTGATGTTCTTCTGGGGTCAGCTTCTTCAGTGCTTCCTTCTCTCGCGTCAGTGAGTTGACCTCAGCATCCACAGCTTCTAACCATTTCTCCCAATCTCTTGCCACTTCCTTTGGGGAAATGATCTTCGTTTGCAGAACCTCTTCTTGGCCTGAGGGATTCTGCATCATCTTCTTGAGCTTGTGGATGATCTTGATCTCATCGTTTGCGATCTCTGGATCGTCTTCAATAAGGTGCTGTGCTTCTTCTTTTAGGATCTGCTGGATCCTTTCTTTTTGCTGCTTGTGCTTCTCCTCTTCTTCCTCTTCATCCGGTTGGGGCCGCATGCTGACATCCATTCTTCTCACGGCTGACTTCTCTCTCAGCCTTCTTCGCACTGTCCATGCATCCTCCGCATCATTCTCGAGGGCGATCCAGGTCTGTTCATCCTCAGGCTCCAAAGTTGGCCTCATGATGCACTTGGTGACTCGTGGCACTTCACCTTCCTTCATCACCCAGTGACCATGGTCTTCCGCTGATGGAAGAAGGTATAAAACCTTTTCCCAGCCCACTTCAAAATCTTTCTTTCTCCATGTTCTTTTCCTGACCCTGACCTCTTGTAGGAACCTGGGCCACCATGGCTTAACGCCAAGTCGGACACATCGGTTGATCTCATTCACATACCGGAGTGCCCATGGCCACATAGAGGAGTCTCGACCTGCTTGTCGTAGGGTCCTTCTGACCTGATCTTTGATGACCTTCACGCAGACTTCCGCCCTACCATTTCCTCTTGGATCATCCCCAGATGTTCTTGTGAGATGGATGCCTCTGACCCTGGCCCACTGCTTGAAATGGCCTTGAAACTCGTGGCCCCTGTCACTGTGTATGTGGCCCACATGATACCCATCAGCCTTGAGCTTTAGCCACATTTCCATCGTTGTGGCTGTCACCTCTCTTGGTGTTTTGGTGACCATTGGAAGTGCCAGCCGAAATGTCTTCATCTCTGTCTCTTCTATGAGGTTCCGTGCGCCATCCTCAGCTTCCTCCGGGAGCTGGGCCAGACCCCTTTGGTCCGATCCGTCCTCACCGGGGGGCACAGGAACCTCATGTTCTTCTTCTTCTGCTCTGTCTCCTTCCTCCTGATCTTCTAAGGCTGGTGCTTCCTGGTCTTCTTTATCTTCGATCTTTGGCTCATCTCCTGCCATAGCTTCATCTTCCGGCTGATCCAACTTGGTGGTGCCCCTGGGAACTCGCCAGGTCAACACGCCAACCAAGAAGTATCTTGCCTGGTATCCTCCTTGATCGTATGCTGGGATCATTGGACCCGCCGTGTCCAACGAGAGCACACCTGCCTGTGGGTATTTCACCTTCTTGTGTGGGCTGCACTGTTGGGCTGACTCCTGGCAGACCCGACAGTCCCTTCTAAATGGGACATGGTTGAAGGCAATGTGTTCAGCCCATGTAACCTCCTTCATCTTGATGTCCGTCTTGTGGACTTGGGTCATCAGGGCACTCGCCACCATGTTCATGACTCCGGGTGCCCAGCGAGAGAGTTCTTTGGAGTTTTGGCACCATTCCTCCTTTTCTCCTCTCCATAAAATCTTCACTGGACAACTTCAGAGAGCCTCCAAACGTTGTTGGCTTTGTGGTGGGTCCTCCCATTCTGCCTTGTTCCAGAGTTTCTTCTTGAAATCTGAAGGCTTCCTTCACCTTTTTCCATTCCTTCGTATCCCACCAACTCACCACATCAGAGTTGTATGCCCTTGGAGATGCTGGCTGTTCCATTGTGAACAAAACCTCCGGCAATCTTCTTGCCTTTGCCATTGAGGAGGCAACGACGTAGAGGAAAATCACCCTCCACATCAAGATGTCGTCGGCCTGGAGCATCTTCTTCTCTGCTTCAGTGATGTCCTTGATGCCATATTCCTCTCCTCCCCAACGTCTTATTGGCCTTGGTGCTGATGCATCTCCAGGGATTGGGATGTGTCGCAGAATGCTTCTAGTTCTGCAATTGGGTGCGGACACGATGGCGTTCAACTTACCCTCCAGGGCTGCTCTAATCAGGCCACTATATGGACCACGACTCCTCAACATGTCGTGACCCGCCCCACGACAGATGTCAATCTCAAGCAGGGCATCCTCTCTTCCTCCAATTTGCTTCCAGGCTTGTTGGAGCGTGAACCCTTCTTTTGGGCCTGCATAGATGTGGGCAATGAACCCATCTCTCTTCATCTTCTTCCTTTGTCTCCTGTTTGTAGGGAGGTCTGACCATTCTCCTGGCTCCACTGGCAACTCCTGCTTCAGCCATTGGGGTAGCCCAGAGAAGATCGGATGCTGGTCGATGAGCTTCAGCATCCACCTCCATTCTTCTTGGAAGTCAGCGGCCGTTGATCCGATCTCAGCTCCTTTTTCTTCGAGCTCTTGGATCAGGTCTAAGGCATCCCTTCTGGAAATCTGGGGACATCCGTTGATGTGGTGAACCTTGATGTTGCCCTTCTTGGGGTGACTCAATTGAACCTCGGTGCCCCGCCATGTGATCTCACATCCTAGCTTCCCTGTGAGGAGTCCCATAGGGACGATAGGCTCCACATCATCATCCAAGCCAATCATGACACCTGATGATGTCATTGGGAGCTTTGCTTCTGTTCCGTCCGCTAAGGAAACTGTCACCTTGCGGTAGCTCCCCACGTCTTCATTTGGTCGAGGAGGCCTGAGGGGATGTGTGGCCCCAGAGTCAATGAGGCCCATCTTCCATCCTCTTGACATCCTCTTCAACTGGAACTTCTTGAGCTTGATGGCATTGAGCTGCTGCTGTAGCCTTTGCATGATCTCCTCTTTTGTATCCTCTTCCTTTGACGCTTCCGAAGAAGCACTTGACGTCGTGGTGAGAGACTTTAGCATCTTGTTGGCTTCCTCCAAGAGATCCCGCATTGACTGCTCTGCTGGAGATCCATTGTGATCCCGCATTGACTGCTCTGCTGGAGATCCCTTGCGATCCCGTATTGACTGCTCTGCTGGAGATCGCTTGCTTGGAGATTCTTCCTTCAATTGGGGACTTGGCTCCTCCCCCTCGGCTTTGGCACTCTTCTGCTTTCTTGGGCTTCCATCGTTGGGAACTCGAGGTCGGGTGCAGCTTGGGGCGAGGTGCTCTGTGGAGCCACAGATGTAGCATCGGCGCTTCCCATCACTACCTTCATGTGGCCAGCTGCACTCCTTGCCTCTTCTACATCCGGCTTCGCTCAAATAAAACTTACATCGAGCCTTTCCTTTTGCTTCTTCTTGGGCCTCCTTGCCCTTTCCTTTTCCTTTGTCTCCTTCATCTACTTCCATTGTCTTGATCTTTGCCTGATCTCCTTTTTGGCCTGCTTGTGCTCCCTTCTTGTCGATGTGTGCTAGTTGATCAACCTCAGAAAGGATGTGGGTGGCCAATTGGCCTATGTTCACCTCTGAGGGGGCCGTGTCGACCAGAAGGCTTGACCTGATCAAGGAGATGCGAAATTGTAATTCTCTATGTCCTTCAAGTAGCTTCTTCGTCATCTTGTTCAATCCTTTCAGCAAGATTGTTGGGTCCGGAGAGACTGCTCCGATTTCTTGTGTGCGTTTCCTCCACCTCATCCACCTCCGCAATGCTGCTGGTGCTTCTGCCATGCTCTGTATTTCGCTAGGGTCTTCAAGATTGCGGAGGAGAGTCTGTTTTTCTTGCACTCCTCCTGGACAATATGTCAGTAGGAGATGTGTCAGTATACCAAACACCGACAATCGCCTTGCTGAGACCAGCTCCTCTCGCACTGCTTCTGGCAATGCCTGGAGTATCATTGTTGACACTCTGCGCTCCAATCTTTGCCATCTCTCTTCCTGCAGCATCTTCGGTGGATCTGGTAGGTGTTGAAGTCGATCCAGTGGTCCCAGCGAAAGATGATGCTGATACCACGACTCTGATTGATTGGTCATTTTTGACCACCATTCCTCAGATGACAGGGAAAGATCCGCTATCACCGGCTGAACCAGGAGCATCCAGTCTCCTAGTTGGAGGGGTCCGAGATTGGGAGTCCATGGAGGCAATGCAGGAAGATCTTGAACTCCACTGCGAACCACCTCCACGCCCCTGATCATCCCTGTCTCCTCTTTGCCATCATTGACTTTCCGTTGCATCTCTTTCATGGTCTCCATCATCGTCATCATAAACTGCATGGTCTTTTCTGTGAAGGACTCTTCTCGGCTTGATGTGCCCTCTCGCCCCTTCGGCTTCTCTGAGTACTGCTGGCCTGTCTCATTTGCCTCTCCTCTTGGGGTGTCCTCTGCTTGCTTTGGGGGGTCTGCAGCCTCCTTTGGGGGTTCTGCGGCCTCCTTTGTTCTTGCTTGAGGTGTGGGTGTCTCCTTGGGGGTCTCAGCAGCCTCCTTCTTCTTGGCAGCCTCCTCCAAATCACTGACAACCTGCTTCATTCTTTGCGACGACTTCCACTCTTCCTCTGGAGTGGAAAATTTCTGATCCTCTTCTTCTCGACTTCTGGTCTCTAAACCTTCTAGTCTATTCTTCAACTGTCTGTTCTCCTCTACCAGCATTCGCAAAGTCTTCCTAATCTCCTCTTTTTCCACTTGATCATGCATGAATCTCTCTTGATAATACTCCAGTTGGGGATCTCTCTGTGACGTGACGGCTCCCCCTCGGTTCAGTTCCTCTTGAGTCAAAAAGAGTGGGCGTGCTGGAGTAGTGAAGGTGTTTGCATGAGTGAACATGGATTGACTCGGCGCATACAGCCAAGGAGCTTGATCCTGTATCTGTCGGATCTGATTGAGCTGTTCCTGAGTGAACAGCGGTGCAACATCAGGAGAGGCCTCAGTGTTCCTTAGTGGAGACCGGTTGGAAGCAGATCCTCTCTCTGATTCCCCAGTCCTGTTTCCTGAAACACTGTTTGCGGCCTTAGTGGTTTCAGGTCCGTTTGCGACCTGTTCGAATTCTGGAGTCACCTTGGTGAGTGGAGTGACCTTAGCTGGTGAAGCAAAACTCTCAGGCGGCACAGGTGGTGGTGTCGAAGGAGGAAGCAACTGTGGTCGCTTCACTACTGAATCTGTGGGGGATTGTTGAACCTCAACCTTCGGAGTACCTTTGGAACTTTCCTTGGCGACAACAGCTTGGCTAGCTAAAACTACCTCACTGCCTCTGGTTTCGTCCCTTTCCATTTCAGTTTGATCCTCCAACGCCTTTTCACCTCTTTCCTCTGCTTCTTTCTCCATTCTTTTCTGAGCCTGCTTCATTTGTCTTTCGCCTTCCTCCAACTCACCCACGGTGGCTTTTCTTCGTCTATCCATCAGACGCAGCTCACCTTGGGCTCATAACCTGTTGAACTGGACAGGTTTATGGCCCCCTGGTATCTTCTATTTCCCAGCCACACCTCAACGCGCCTCGTCTTTTCGCGGACAAATCAGCGATGCTTGAGGTTGAAAAAGGGCAGCTGAATTGGAACAGCTGACAGTTCAGTTGAATTGAAATGTTATGTATGCCACATGTCTATGTGAGGGTTTGGCACATCTGCACTAACATCCAACAAGTATGTAATTAGATACCGAGGGGTGACATCTCCAGGTGCAAGGCGAAGAGGCTGAAAACAGCTCGGCAGTCTTGGAGGCACCAAAGGAGGCAGGAAACAGCTCCGTGACGTACTCCCTTTACCAGTGTTGTACAAATATGATATATATTGTGATTTATGTAATATATAGTGGAGACACTACATACCATGGTCGTTCCGGGAATCCCGGTATAGTCGAGCAAAACCCGTTATAGTCGACCAATCGTGGTATAGCCTAGGCCTTGCCAGGAATAGGCGAGGAAGAATAGGGTATTGTATCTGTGATAGATTTCAATATGATCATAGAATATCATAGAATATCGTAGATATTATGCAAAGACTCCCCATGAATGCCGTATGGCATTGTATATATCGTAGCATCATTGAGCTTCAAACCACCAGTGATGTAGTTCAGACGGAGGTTCACATTGCTGGTTATCCTGCAGTGGCTGGCTGCTACCGGTTGCAGCCAGAGTTGAAGAATGGACGCCCCGTCTACCGTCGTGAGCCTCACTCCGAAGATCTCGCTCTGATTTGAGCATGAACTTTGTAGACAGTAGTGACAGCTGAAAGTCTACCCTACCTGAGGGTTGAAAGATGTTGAAAGCCTTGAAATGCCCATGCCGCCCATGCCCAATTTCAATCTGAGGATGCTGATGCTGACCAGTTCTTGTGGTTCAGAGGTTGGAAGCTCATTCGTTGAAGCTGAGTCTATGTTTAATCCCATCGAATCATGCCTCAATACGACATAGCACCACGACTGCCACATTCACATAAGCGGTTGCAGCAACAATGCAGGTTTTTCTCGAGTTTCAATCGCACGAATCTTGTGTTTGTCATGGCATGTAGTTGTCCTGCAAACCAGGGGGGGTTCACATCTAGGAATGGCTCAATTTGAGACATTAGCCCAATAAAAGAAAAAAACAAAAATGTCCTCCAATCAACATCAATCAACCTTAATTTGAAATACAACACATGACCAGATTGACCAGCCACAAAAATGGCTTCAGCTCCTGTGCCCAGGTGGCAATTGGGGTGTGACCAGCTCCCTGAACGCCTCATCACTGGCGGCTCCCTTCGCAGTGCGATGTGCTGATGCGAACGCCCTGCATCCATTGCAGCTCCGGCGGCGGTCGAAGTGGTATATGCGAACGGGCAGAAACAAAGAGGACGGCAGTGACGGCAGAGATCCGAATTTTGAAGATTCCAAAAGGATATAAGGTGAGGGAGCATTGAAAGCTTCGAAAGCTTCACAGCTAGTGATAATAGACATATATGAATATATACGATATATATACAATATAGATATAGTAGCTGCTGCCCCAATAGGTCTGAAACATCATGAAACATCACAGATGGCTGTGGTCCAAATGTTTGAGTTTCCGAGTCTGCTGGATGTGCAGGATTCAGCACCAGATTTGTTGGTTGCTGCGGACCTTGAACAGAGCACCTCTGCCAGCTGACACTGAACTGGCAACCGTAATCCTTCTGAGAGCAGTCATGTATTTGGTTCACCATGTAGTTCGGTTGAATTCAGATGGCATGAGACAAGTGCAGCACAAAAGATGAAAAAAGTGCCAGAGCACTGTGCGCTATTGTGTGGCCAATCCACAAACTCTTCTGTAAGGGTGAGCTTCAATGTGGAGAAAGTGAGAAAAAGTGAACAAGATGGAAGCCACGAACCCGAATGTATTCACGTTCTTGGACTACGAGTGCAAACCTCTGCAATAGGAAAACGAACCTTTGTTTGCATGCATCGTGCGGTTCACAAAGAGACAACTAACCAGCACAACAACATCACCACAAGCACAACGAAATCACAACCAGCACAACAATATCACCAGCGCAATGAAATCACAACAATATCACCAACACAACAGCATCACCAGCACAGCAACATCACCAGCACAACGAGATCACCACCACCTGCCACACTCCACACTTTACCCACTGCACACTCCACACTTTACACTCCACACTCCGCACACTACACTTTACACTCCACACTCCACACTCTACACTTTACACTCTACACTTAACTTGACACTCTACACTTCTACACTTCACACTCGACACTTTCCGCTCCGCACTCCACACTCTACACTTTATACTCCAGGCTCCACACTTTACACTTTACACTCCTCACTCCTCACTCCACGCTCTACGCTCTACACTCCACACTCCACCACACTCAACACTCTACACCCACCACACTCCTCACTCCACACTCCACACTTTACATTCCACACGCCACACTTTACACTCCACACTCGCCACTTTCCACTCCACACTCCACACTCTACAGTTTACACTCCACACTTTACACTTTACACTCCTCACTCCACACTCAACACTTTACACTCCACACTCCTCAATCCTCACTCCACACACTACACTCCACACTCCACACGCCACACTCCACCACATTCTACACTCTACACACACCACACTCCTCACTCCATACTCCACACTTTACACTCCACACGCCATACTTTACACTCCACACTTTACACTCCACACTCCACACTTAGCACTCCACACTCTACACTACACTATACACTCCACACTCCACACTCTACACTTTACACTCTTACTTTTTACAATCTACACTACACATTCCACACTCTACACGCTCTACACTCCCCACTCCACACTATACAAAGCACTTCCCAGTACTACTTTGTACTGCAAAGCTTGCACAAACTACTTCCCAGTACTTTGTACTACACAGCTTGCACTAAGCACTTCCCAGTACTACTGTGTACTACACAGCTTGCACAAAGCACTTCCCAGCACTACTTTGTACTACAAAGCTTGCACAAACTACTTCCCAGTACCACTTTGTACTACAAAGCTTGCACGAAACCGTTCCCAGTACTACTGTGTACTACAAAGCTTGCACAAAGCACTTCCCAGTACTACTTTGTACTACAAGGCTTGCAAAGTCGTTCCCAGTACTACTGTGTACTACAAAGCTTGCAACAACTACTTCCCAGTACTACTGTGTACTACAAAGCTTGCACAAAGCACTTCCCAGTACTACTGTGTACTACAAAGCTTGCACAAAGCACTTCCCAGTACTACTGTGTACTACAAAGCTTGCACAAAGCACTTCCCAGTACTACTGTGTACTACAAAGCTTGCACAAAGCACTTCCCAGTACTACTGTGTACTGCACAAAGCAGCACAAAGTGCACAAACACGTTCCAGTACTAATGTGTACTACAAAGCTCGCACAAACTACTTCCCAGTACTACTGTGTACTACAAAACTTGCACAAACACGTTCCAGTACTACTGTGTACTACAAAGCTCGCACAAACTACTTCCCAGTACTACTGTGTACTACAAAGCTCGCACAAACACTTCCCAGTACTACTGTGTACTACAAAGCTTGCAGCAAGCACTTCCCAGTACTACTGTGTACTACAAAGCGCGCACAAACACGTTCCAGTACTACTGTGTACTACAAAGCTTGCACAAACTACTTCCCAGTACACTTGTGTACTACAAAGCTTGCACGAAGCACTTCCCAGTACTACTTTGTACTACAAAGCTTGCTACAAAGCACAAACACTTCCCAGTACTACTGTGTACTACAAAACTGCACAAAGCACTTCCCAGTACTACTGTGTACTACAAGTCTTGCAAAGTCGTTCCCGGTACTACTGTGTACTACAAAGCTTGCAACAACTACTTCCCAGTACTACTTTGTACTACAAAGCTTGCACAAAGCACTTCCCAGTACTACTGTGTACTACAAAGCTTGCACGAAGCACTTCCCAGTACTACTGTGTACTACAAAGCTTGCAACAACTACTCCCCAGTACTACTTTGTACTACAAAGCTTGCACAAAGTCGTTCCCAGTACTACTGTGTACTACAAAGCTTGCAACAACTACTTCCCAGTACTTCTTTGTACTACAAAGCTTGCACAAAGTCGTTCCCAGTACTACTGTGTACTACAAAGCTTGCACAAAGTCGTTCCCAGTACTACAGTGTACTACAAAGCTCGCACAAACTACTTCCAAGTACTACTGTGTACTTCAAAGCTTGCACAAAGCACTTCCCAGTACTACTGTGTACTACAAAGCTTGCACGAATCACTTCCCAGTACTACTTTGTACTACAAAGCTTGCACAAAGCCCTTCCCAGTACTACTGTGTACTACAAAACTTGCACAAAACACTTCCCAGTACTACTGTGTACTACAAAGCTCGCACAAACACGTTCCAGTACTACTGTGTACTACAAAGCTCGCACAAACACGTTCCCAGTACTACTGTGTACTACAAAGCTCGCACAAAGCACTTCCCAGTACTACTTTGTATTACAAAGCTTGCAGGAAGCACTTCCCAGTACTACTGTGTACTACACATGCACAAAGCACTTCCCAGTACTACTGTGTACTACAAAGCTCGCACAAACACGTTCCCAGTACTACTGTGTACTACAAAGCTCGTACAAAGCACTTCCCAGTACTACTTTGTACTACAAAGCTTGCACTGTTAAATTTCACGAGGTCTTGGGGTTTTGGGATTTTTACGGTATATTGGGTTTCAAAGTCAAAATGCATCATTTCGAGCAACCTGCGAGCAGAAGGGTCGTGAGGAAAAGTGTTGAATGTTGTGATTTTTGTTGAATCAGTGGTCCACAGGTCCAACTGGCGTTCCAGAGAAACTGAAACAGTCGGAAACAGTCGGAAACAGTCGGAAACAGTCGGAAACCGTCGGAAACAGTCGGAAACAGTCGGAAACAGTCGGGAGCGGCCCGGCGTGATCGTGCCAAAATTGTCAATCCGCCATTTTTTTGCAAAAAAAAACGTTCCGCGCAATCCCCTTTTTTTTTTGAAAGTGCAACGGGAAACAGTTGGAAACAGTTGGGGCTCGTACCTTTGACTCGGCAAAAAACGAGCTATTTAAAACCATTTAAGGGTCATTTTCTTTATAAACTGGTTTTAAATAGCTCTTTTTTTGCCGAGTCAAAGGTACGAGCCCCAACTGTTTCCAACTGTTTCCCGTTGCACTTTCAAAAAAAAAGGGGATTGCGCGGAACGTTTTTTTTTGCAAAAAAATGGCGGATTGACAATTTTGGCACGATCACGCCGGGCCGCTCCCGACTGTTTCCGACTGTTTCCGACTGTTTCCGACTGTTTCCGACTGTTTCCGACTGTTTCAGTTTCTCTGGAACGCCAGTTGGACCTGTGGACCACTGATTCAACAAAAATCACAACATTCAACACTTTTCCTCACGACCCTTCTGCTCGCAGGTTGCTCGAAATGATGCATTTTGACTTTGAAACCCAATATACCGTAAAAATCCCAAAACCCCAAGACCTCGTGAGATTCAATAGCTTGCACAAAGCACTTCCCAGTACTACTGTGTACTACAAAGCTCGCACAAACACGTTCCCAGTACTACTGTGTACTACAAAGCTCGCACAAAGCACTTCCCAGTACTACTGTGTACTGCAAAGCTTGCACAAAGCACTTCCCAGTACTACTGTGTACTACAAAGCTTGCACAAAGCACTTCCCAGTACTACTGTGTACTACAAAGCTCGCACAAACTACTTCCCAGTACTACTGTGTACTACAAAACTTGCACAAACACGTTCCAGTACTACTGTGTACTGCAAAACTTGCACAAACACGTTCCAGTACTACTGTGTACTACAAAGCTCGCACAAACACGTTCCCAGTACTACTGTGTACTACAAAGCTCGCAGAAACTACTTCCCAGTACCACTTTGGACTACAAAGCTTGCACGAAGCACTTCCCAGTACTACTGTGTACTACAAAGCTCGCACAAACAAAGCTCGCACAAACACGTTCCCAGTACTACTGTGTACTATCAAGCTCGCACAAACTACTTCCCAGTACCACTTTGTACTACAAAGCTTGCACGAAGCACTTCCCAGTACCACTTGGTACTACAAAGCTTGCACAAAGCACTTCCCAGTACTACTGTGTACTACAAAACTTGCACAAAGCACTTCCCAGTACTACTGTGTACTACAAGTCTTGCAAAGTCGTTCCCCGTACTACTGTGTACTACAAAGCTTGCAACAACTACTTCCCAGTACTACTTTGTACTACAAAGCTTGCACAAAGTCGTTCGCAATACTACTTTGTACTACAAAGCTTGCACAAAGTCGTTCCCAGTACTACTGTGTACTACAAAGCTTGCACAAAGCACTTCCCAGTACTACTGTGTACTACAAAGCTTGCACAAAGCACTTCCCAGTACTACTTTGTACTACAAAGCTTGCACAAAGTCGTTCCAGTACTACTGTGTACTACAAAGCTCGCACAAACTACTTCCCAGTACTACTGTGTACTGCAAAACTTGCACAAAGCACTTCCCAGTACTACTGTGTACTACAAAGCTCGCACAAACACGTTCCAGTACTACTGTGTACTACAAAGCTCGCACAAACAGGTTCCAGTACTACTGTGTACTAC